AAAGACACAGAAGGGGTGGAGTGCAAGGCAGATGACAAATTGTGATTAATAAATGTGGTCCGGGACGGCAGTGTGGAACGATGCTTATTAATGGAGAGAATTAGAGTGGCTGTGCAACTCAATCTACACACTGTCACTCTGCATCAGGCACCATGATCAGAGTCTAATGAAACAGCACAACAGAAACACAGAAACACACACACACACAAGCTCATCTACAACATCCCCCTTTCGCTATAAGTCCACAAATATACCTTTTATATATATATATATATTATATTTATATATAAATATATTATTTCACAGTAAAATATCCAGACACAAAGACTAGATTTTAAGAGTTTTTAGAAGCAAAAATGCATCAAATATTGAGAATATTTTTAGAGAATATATCTTTAATCGTACTTTATTTTATAATCATTTTTTATTAAGATCATTTATTTTGAGATCCTATTTATTTTTCTTGAATCTTTTTTTCTTTGATCTTATGATTTTTTAATTAGATAATTAATTTAGATAATTAAATAATTCAATTTAGATAATTAATTTTTTTTTTTTTTGCAGTGCACATAAACAAATACAGACACCGTCCCTGACCTTTAACTTCTCACACCATTTTTCTCTCACACACTCAGGAGACACACAGATATAAATCTTACTTTTATTTTTCATCTGTTTTTGCATACACAAAAGTGAACTCTCCATAAGCCAGCATCTAATTACATCCTTTCATGCACATGCCACAATGAATCCCATTCCTCCATTATACCTTATTCCAGAAACAGAGTGAAAGTCCAAAAGGCTTTTGTTTCAGCACTTGGTGATGTTTTATTAATCTTTTTCCACCACCATAACCCTCAAAGGCACTGATCTATAGGCTGTTATATTTCAGATCAAGATCCGTTCTTTTCCTCCAGGGGAGAGGTCAGGTCACCGCTCCTTTGGCCAATTGGGAGACTCCATCAATATTCTCTGTTTAACTGAGTGTTAATTCATGTCCTAATTACTTTTTACTGCCCAGTGGTAATCTCATTATCCAAAATTTTACATAAATAACAGCATAAAAATCATTCTTCACACCTACTTGGTGACACGGGTGGATCTATGTGCACAATCCATGTCTCAATAAGTGTCACGGCTACTCTCATGGGATCTTGTCTCTGGTAATGATTAGTGAGTCTGTATGTGTTCATGTGTTGTGTTTTTCTTGTTATTTTCCATCAATTTAGTGATGGAGGCCTAGTATAGATGTAGCCTATACAGAAACTACACATCATGGAGAGATTTCTTTTAAAAAGCATACTAACAGATTGCTCTTGCTAGGTCAATATTGTGCAGATATTCTTTATACCTTCTACAATTGTAAATTGTACACCTTTTAAAATGTTTTTTTAAAACAATTGTGACTTTGTCACACAATGTAACTTTGTTTTTTTATTTTAATCGCAGAATTACCTTTTCTATTTGTTTTGTTGAGGTGGAAACAGGCTTCAATATTTATTTTTAGCATCTCGTTTTGATGTATTATTTGATTGAACTAGTAATTGATTTTCAACAAAAGTTGAAAACACTAACCAAACAATACCATAGAAACAGACTAAAACCAAGGAAACTTGGTAACGCTTCCTTTTACAGTACAGTATACTTACGTGTACTTACAGTGTACTTACCTAGAAAGTACTGGCTAATATAAGGTAAGTACATGGGTTAGGGGTAGGTTTAGGGGTAGGTTCAGGGTTAGTAGTTATTACCCAGTAACTATAATTACTATAATAAGTACATAGTAAGTACATTGGTAACAGGACTGTAAAAGGAAGCGTTACTGGAAACTTAACCAAAACATGGACAAAACCCACACCCAAAACCAAAGAACACAGATAAACCCTGACAGTGAGGCAACTAATATTTAGTTCCAAGAAAACTGTCCAGATTTTGGCTCACCAATGTCATTTAATCCAACTCTCGACAGTTGTCAAGCAACAAACAAACAGAGGTCTATACGCATGATATGAAACAACCATCGACAGTTTGCTTGAGTCATCATCTGTGACAGAAAAAAGAATATCACCTTTACATTGAAGGCTAAAAATTAGTCAGATGCAACAATACTCAAGCCTATCTTAGTGTATGACAAAAAAAGGTTAGCTAAAGACGGCCCTGGCTTGCCATTTTAAAAGCGTCTTTTCCAAATGCATTGACACGACTTACCCTATTCTCCCCTTCATGATCGAAGAAAAATAATAGAGAAAGACAGTATGGTGAAATGAGAACTGAAAAGAAGATGGAATGAGAGACAGACAGCTCAGAGACATGTGCATTTTTCAATATTAATCATCTCAGTAATATTTTAACAGCCACTAAAAATCCAATTCTCGCTATATTGCCTATGTCTCCTAGCGATGATTATAACACCCATTGTGGTTAAACCCGCGCAGTGTGCGTGTGTGTGTGTGTATTTCTAATGGAAGGGACTGACTGACACACAAAGTGGGAGTGACATAGTGTTTAACTCAACACTGTAACACACTTCTTACTCTGGGAGCATCTTTCTCACATTTCTCTCCAGTCACTGTCCACTTCTACTGTTCTTCTCTCCCCTGACACTGGTCATATCGGGGAAAGGGGTGTGGAGAGAAAATGTCAAAATCCAATGTCCAAAACTGCTACTTTTCAGGAAAACACTGTATTTAAAAAAATAAATAATTCAAGACGGTGTTGTCAAAGTTGATATTGTGGCTTTATGGCCAGATAAGCGCAGCACATTACGCTTTTATCAACTTACAGGTTAGAAAGTTTATTGTAGCTTTGTATGTGCTCAGTTTTTACTGTCGTTTGGCCAAAATCTCATGTCATATAAAATGGCGTACTACGCACAAGCTATTTAAGACAGTATTGGCTATAGCCTTTAAATGTGTGTTTGTTTGTGTGAGTGTGTGTGTGTGTTTCTTGAGTAAAGAAAATGCTGTATTCAAATAACCAGTTTTATATTTACCCATGCATTGCAAACAAGCAAAGACGGTCCAAAATGTGTGTGGCACTTCATCGACTGATCTAACCATTTTTCTTACACCCCCTCTACAACCTCATCAAACTTTAAAAATTCAGATGTGTGAATACGCCTGACAGGGAGCAAGATGGGATGAGTTGCACTGAATTCTCAATGGATCTGCTACTAGACCCAGTATTTAAACACCGGTAGCATTAGCCTTCAAACAGACTGCAAGAGGATGCAATGCAAAATCTGCATAAATGCGATCATTTGGCCTATTTTACGGTCAGTTTTAGAAATCTATTGAAATTTAAAAAAAGGCATCAACTTACCTATTCAAACTATTCTACATCTATAGCTATAATATAATCTGTAGAAATGATATTCCATTGCTAGATAGATTAGATAGATAGATAGATAGATAGATAGATAGATAGATAGATAGATAGATAGATAGATAGATAGATAGATAGATAGATAGATAGATAGATAGATAGATAGATAGATAGATAGATAGAAATTGAGAAAGAGAGAGAGGGGGAGCACAATGGTCTCAGTGTCCTTCACTAATGAGCTCTCAAAGCTAGAGAAACTGAGCCACACACACAATGACCTCGAGAAGTCACAGTGCTCCATTCTTAACCCAAACAGATAGAGATGCTTTTTTCTAAGCCATCCACAAGAGTTTTTTGTTAAAAAATGGCTTATTTTTAAAACCCAAATAGGCTGCTGACGTGATAAACGATTAACATTTAGCTACAACACTTTCCCGCATTTAATTATGATTAAGTTGGAAAAACACAAACTCAAAACCAAGTGCCCTCCGGACCAGACAGCGTATTTGTGCGTCGCAGGCGCGCTCTAGGCAGCTCTGCCTCTGAGTCTGTGGCGTTGAGACAGAGCCAGTGAGAGGGGCGAGGATGAGATGAGATGGGATGGAGGGAGGGAGGAGTCGACCGGATGGAAGAATGAGGGGGCAGTGTGAGTGCGTGTGTGTGTGTGGAGTGTGAAAATCTCACAGGTGTCGGAGTCAGAAGTCCAGCGCTGTACGTTGCTGTATTATTATGTCTTTGGACAAAACGAACGGCAAAAGCGGAAGTGTCACTCACGCGCGAAGTCATTAACAGTTCGCGGAATAAATAAGGTCAGAAGTGAACTTAATGAAGTCATCTTACCCAATTTGACTGGTTAAAACATTTAAAATCGATATTTCTGCGATTCACTCTGTTGTTGGAGTAAAGAGAGGTGTCTTCATTTGCACATGAATTACATTCGCCTTTAATTTGCTCCGGAATTCGGCAAATTTAAGGACAGACATCAGAGGAAGATTTTTAATCCTAAAGATTTCCCATTAACACCGAAGTCAGGGTAAGTGTCTATTTAATACCTTTTAGTGTAGCCTACTTAAAGTTGCTCAATTGTGTCTTACTTTCACAGGTGTTATTTTGCGTGCTTCACTTACTGCATAGAAAAATTATCCTGTAGTTTTTTTTTTTTATGATATCAGCCTAATTTATTCATGTGTTGTTTTTATTTGTGAATATTTCTCCTGTTTAGGCCAAACCTTTTGCAACAAAAACGTAATGCCAGTTGGCTATTCAGGGGTCATTTTGATATAAAATGATCAAATATAATGACATATTATGCTTACTGGATATTGCAAAAGAATAATGCAAGACAACTTTCAGCATGTTCAATTTAGGATAATATATATATATATATATATATATATATATATATATATATATATATATATATATATATATAATGTGATATTAAATATAGCCTTAACAGATTTTCTTTATTGTCTTTTCATGTTTTTTTCCTCCTCTAGTTCTATTTCTGTGGAATTTTCCCAGTCCCGCCAGAGCAACTACAGGGGTCTTCCATATGTTCCTAAAAAATAAATAATAATAATTTTCTGAAGGATCAATACATTGTGGCTCATCGGGTTTTGGTGCAGGGCGTTGGACAATTTTCATTGAGCAGGAGCATTTTAGTGTATCAGTTTCTTTTGGCACATCTTTCAGGTCTTTGGTTGGACTTAATTAGAATTTTGTTGCACAAGCAGCTTACTTTGTGATTTAATTTAGCCCTTTACAAACTGAATTTTGCAATTGCTCAATTGCACTTGGACAGGAACTTGAACTGAAAAACCCCAAAACAGGTTGTTGCTGCATTCACTTATGCAAAAGAGAAACCTCAAAGAGTTTTCTGTGTATTGGACAATTAACTGTAGATCTAATGTTAACAAGCAAGGGGATGAATGTAAAGATGTGTATTGTTATTAGCCACGAAATTACAACACTTTAAAAATACAGTATTGCATTGTATTGCGAGTGTCCCCGTATATTAGCTCGCCAAGAGCCACCTTGTTGTCCTGTAATCATCTTTTATTCTTTGCCGTGCCACACCTTTCTGTTGCACTGTTCCATTTCGTTCTTCCAGATCTTCCTTTCGGTCTCCACTCTGTCCTACCTCTTGTCCCATTGCACCCTCTCATTTCTGTATGCTCCACTCTCTTCTTGGTCTTCTTGTCTCATCCATAAATTCATCTGCTATCCTTCTCCCCATTGGCCTCATTCCTCTATTGATATCTTTGGGGTGGCTGTTTTTCTTTGTTAGTGAGTTTTTCTCAAACTCCACTGTTCACGCTGGCGGGCACCATTCCATCTAAAGGAGAGGAGGACTTTCTAACGCTTGCTGCCTCCCGGCTCAGCCGCCGCAAGCGTGTCATAGGAGCGGCCGTGGGTGTGGCCATGGTTCTGATTCTCCTGGTCACCATTCCTTTACTGGTCCACAACACTAAAGGAGGAGGAGCTGGCAGTGCGGGAAGTCATTATGAAATGCTAGGAAGTTGTCGGATGGTTTGTGACCCCTACACCACTCCTCATGGCCAGGAGCTAACGGCTGTATCACCCGCACCTGCTGATTTTCCAAACCGGAGAGGGAAATCTGGCTATCGGGGACCTCCGGGGATCCCGGGACCGCCTGGTCCACCTGGAGAACCTGGAAAGCCAGGTCCGCAAGGGCCCCCGGGTCCTGGGCCTGGCGGTTATGTGCCGTCGTTCTACAGCCCTAAGATTGCATTTTACGCAGGCCTGCGCAAGCAACATGAAGGCACTGATGTGCTGAAATTTGATGATGTGGTGACCAATGTTGGCAACTACTATGAGCCCAGCACTGGAAAGTTCACATGCCCTCTGCCTGGTATCTACTTCTTCACTTACCATGTCCTGATGAGAGGAGGAGATGGGACCAGTATGTGGGCAGACCTCAAGAAGAACGGACAGGTAAGAATTTATCCCTATTTATAAAAATTGTTTGTGGTGGAAATGAAATCTTCAGCTCAATTGCTTTAAAATATAGTGCACCCAAAAATTATAAATGCTTTCATTATTTACTCACCTTCATGTCCTTCCAAGCCTGTATGACTTTCCTTCCTCTGCAAACACAAAATGAAGTTATTTTGAAGAATTATTTTTACTGTATTTGTCCATACAATGGTAGTCAGTGGGGTCCAAAACAGCACTGAACAAGACAAAAAAAACTGAGATATTTTTCAAAACATCTTCTTTGTCAAGCAAAACATGGATGGTTTGGAACGACATGAGGATGTGTGAAGGATGACACAATTTAAAAAAAGAAATTGGTGAATAATTTCTTCAACTATCTTTTTCCTTTATTATGGACATTATGTGTGCAGTCAAATGTAGAAAGTAGTTTCTCTTAGTCTCAATTCATCATATTGGGTTTCACCACTAAGGTCATTTTCATCTAGAGGAGTCAGAATAGTTAAGATTATGAGCTTTTTCCTATTAAAATTCCTATTATACAATTGATTACCATCCCACTAAACAACATGGGTGCAAATTGGACGCTGTTGTACTGTTTTTCAAGGCTGACAGAAAAGGCTACTGAAAGGGAAAACCGTGACATAAAAATGTGTGTGTCCAGACAATCTCAGCTGCATTTCCATATGTTTTGAAATTTAATAACTAAAATAAACATCATATATTTACATTTCACTCATCACCTAAAAATGTGTCATACGACTCAGCATGCCAGAGCTGTCGTGGTGTGGTCTAGTGCCAGTTTGCACATCAGATAAATAATGAATGCATGAAAATTTGACAGTTTCCACACTCAGTCATTCATTCCCTAGACATTAATTAAAAACTGAGGGCAGGAAATGAGCAGGACAAGAAAAGGTTTATCTGTAGTGGTTTTAAGTGATTGTATGACCTTTGTGGATCAAGACCCACTCTTGCAGCTTTTTATTTGACAGGCAATCGTAACATATTCTTTTATGAACAGTTTTACCCAAGCACACTATAAAATGTTTATTTGTATTACACTGTGCAATGAAAGCCAAGTGTTTTGTTGTAAAAAAAACAACAACAACAACAACAACAACGTCTGGCTTAATACAGTGGACCCCCTGTAAAAGTGATTAGTGATAGTAGATTAAATTGGTCTGACCTGTACAGTTTTGTATTGTCATGCAAGTCTGCTTCCTCTGTTAAATCATTCATAACTCTTAGATTGAATCCTCTGCACGCTGTACGTGCCCCCCTTCTATTGCATGTTCATTGATTGCTCATTAATTATCTTTTCAGTCCACTCAATTACGTCCATTTCGAGCACATCAGGTGGCCCTGCTTCACTCTTCTGTAGGGCCTAAAATGTAATAGAGAAATGTGTGGGTTAACTGCTCACTACACCAAATAAACCGCAGATGGAATCATCAGATACTTCCCCAAGCACCTGAAATACAGTCAACAGTCCATTTGCGACACAAATCACGATTGCTGTAGCCTATAAGATTTTAAAGAGCTCATAGGATGAGGATTTGCGCAGCTATAATGGAAAGTACACAGCATGTAAAAGTAAAAAAGGATGCTAGATATTTTGACAGATGCTGAGAGACTGGAATTCTCTGAAGTGTCATCTGAAAGCAGACAATGGTCCGTCGGGATTATGAGGTTTATGTTAATTTGTAAAAGGTTACTTTTGAATGCTGACAAAATGATGTTCAAACAGCCATGTCTATTGAATATTATAGGCCAGTTTCCCCAAACACAGAGTTCAATTAAAAGGTTTTGAAGTGGAGAATCACCATTGTGTTATTTTACTCAAAACTAGATGTATGCTACTCTATACAAACATATAAGGTTGTTTATTCAACTAAAGGTACTCCAACCAGAGGCTGATTTTTATTAAAACTTTTTTCTTTTTTTTATATGTATGTAGTAGAGCTGCACGATTAACCGTTAAAAGATCACAATTTAAATTCAAAATTCCACTCAAAATTCAGCTGTCTATAACCCTTTGACAAATGAGATCACACTGATGAACTAATCAAATCTGCGTTCACGCTGCTGCCGACCCAGAGAGTTGTTGTGTGTATATGAAACAACTTAGGTTATCTTTCAACACAGACGTTGTCTTTTCAACATCATTGTACATCATGGTGACTGTCATAATGAGTGACTCATTGAATCACTCATTTGAACAGATTTGTTCAAAATTGCTGGTTCATTCAGAAACAAAACAAGTAACTTTCTTGAGGATTGAGTTTGAAAGTTAATTCATTCAAATGAATAAATATTTGCAGGCCTATTTAAAAGCTCTTGCATAAAAAGTTCCATTATTAATGTTTCAATGGTCTGGCATACTATCTCAAAAAGGGTGTAAACGGAAAACTTAATTTATAGGCTATTTGCATATTTTGATTCACATACACTTCTTGTTTATTACGTTTTGTTTGTTGTGTTCTTTTAAATAGAGCCAAGCTAATAAAATGTTGTCAGAACCAGCAGTAAATTACAAAAGCCAAATGTTCAGGTTTTGCAAATCAGAAATCACTGAAATATACATTTTTTAAATGCAACAACAAAAAAAAAAAAAGCTTTTATTAAATGCCATTATGTATATATTTTATTACTTTACTCTTGGTCCAGATCCAGATGTTTTAAATCCATCCTAAAATGATTTTAATTTTTTTTAAAAAGTAGCATTACAACAGCATTAAAAGTGACTATAGTTGAAGAAACACTCACAAATATGTACTTTTACAGGAGAAAAACTGTAAAGGAACAAAACCAAAATAATAAGCAGTGAAAAATATCATTGTTTTTATCCTTCATCTTGAAAATAAGTTTTGACACAGTCATCTCGCATCTTCATTGTGGAGGCCATGTTCAATATGGCACCCCAGTGGGCGGCCCACAAGCTCAAGTGCACAAGTGAATTGTGAGACAGACTAGAGAAGGACGCAAGGGTAGCCATGACAGTTAAGAGTATGGCAGAATCACCCAGGCTGGTTGACAGAAAGATCAGGGGAGGAAAGGAAGATAGATGACTTAATACAAAGCTGCAGACAGTGGGCAGAAAGACGAGACTTCTGGGAGGCTTATACGCATGGACCAAAATGAATACAGAGCCATAGACAGATGGAGAAGTGCCAAACATGTCATGGCTTGACAGTTTAACAAGCTGTCTTGATGATAAAAAGATCAGATCCTGACATAAGCATTTGTTTGCTAATAATGACTGTCTGTGAATGTTCGGGTGCTAATTAAGAGAAAAACAGTATCTCAGGTATGCTCTAGAGAGTGGCATGCATGTTGCCGTACCTGGTTGCAGGCCCGTGTGACCATCTGGCTGATCGTTGTCTGTGTGGTGGTTTTGACAGCTAGTGAAAGCTGGTCTCTTGATACCGGCTGGTGCAGTTGTGATGGTCTTCTCATTGTCGGACTGCCTGCACTTTAGAACTGCCTGAAATGGAAATGATGTGGGTGGATAATCATGGAAAAGTCACTGGTCAGCAGGATTTTTTCCCACACCGTTAATCCAAGCTGAAGTTTTAGTGGTTGTTTATTCTAAAATATGTGATAAATATTTAACATGGATGTAGTTTTTTTTTTTTTTAAATGTGCATTTAAACAGTCATCCATATTTCAATTTGTCTTTTAGTGTAGGATCAGTACATTTTTTGTTTATTTGTATTTGAATAGGGCACCAGTGTATGACGATGGAATTTTGAGGAATGTTACAATATTTCATTTGGTCAGTAACAGATGGAAAGGATTAGTGATGTGATCGTAATAGTGCCCTCTTCAATATTTAATGAGGTCATTTTCATTTGTCTTGTAATTCATTTGGTATATTGCCCACTGAAGGAGATTCACGCTGAAATTTCGTCACTGTGCATTAAGTCATTGTATCACAGCACCTGCTACAACCGAAGGGAATTCATACGAGGGGGAAAAATGTGACCTGTCAGATCCCACCCTCAAAAGTCCCGGGGTCGTTAGGGTCAACAATTGCACATCATTTAATAATAACTTCTAATTATTATGCTGTATAAGTCTGCTTTCTGATGGAATACCTGCATAAAGGCCTGTAAACATGAAGAGATTTGTTAAAAGGATGTGATGCTGCTAGCGTTATTGGTGGCGCTTTTATTGTGCTTGTTGAATAATGGGTTGTTTGCCTTAATGCTAATGTGAGTCAAAATATGCCACCAGGGTCGTACGTCATCTCTGATTTAGCAGCTACATGTCTTCTTCCTCATCATTAACATGCTGTTAATCTTTTAATTTATAGTCCCTCAGCTTCGATGTACATTCCCGAAACCTTAGACTGAACCTCTGTTCAAAGTGGACTAATCTACACTCCGTCCTCTCTGTTGCTTAATCGTTCCACCATTCTTTTTCCCCCTTTTTCACCTGTCACACGCTCTTTTAATAGACCTCTGAAAGGTCGAGCTCTTTCACACGCTAGTGTTAAAAATGCCATCGCCTGTCTGTTAATGACCAGTACTTGCTCTAATAAATGTCTCCCGGTGCAGTGACATGTACATAGTCCGGTAGAAATATAATGAGTGTCTTTGGTAGTCTCTAATTGTAGTAATCCCTAATTGCAGGGCTTCTAATTGCCAAATAGTTTCAAGGGAAATCTTTTTAACTGATTCAAAATTTGTAGTAGACTGCATATGTGACATACTCATTAAATCCCACCTTGGGTCACTTGTTAAAGCATAGTTCACAGCAAAATGTATAAATAATTAATTTACATTTATTTACAAATCTGAGCTGCTTTCTTCCAAAACACAGAAGATATTTTATTTTTGTTTATCCCATCAATGGGGTCCAATTTTGTTTTGAACCCCAGCTTTCTTCAAAAATAGCTTTGATAACACTTTCCAATAAGGTTCCATTCATTAACATTAGTTCATTATTTCAATACTTCTAAAACATTTATTATGCTTATTTAATGTTCATTTCAA